GCGCGCGCGCGCGCGCGCGCTTCATCCCCACAAAAAACTAGTGAAAACAATCTATTATACGCTACTTAAAAGCTCAAGAAACTTGAGTCGAAAATAATAAAGTTTTCTACATGAAGGAACAAAAAGGATAACTAACCTTCAATTTGAACTTTGAACTTTGAAATTGCTGCTATGAAGGAGAATGGAGTTTTCTTTGTATTTGTAAAAAAAAATTGAATATTCGTTACTTTTAGGAGATATTAACAGACTAGCGGATAAGATAAAGAATTGGGAAAGACCATGAATTGAGGCTTTAATCAATAAAAAAGGTCTTGACTTTTAAATTTAATACATTTCAGTATCTTTTTAAAACTTTTGAGTAATTACCAAGCTCAATTTTGAAATTTTGGGTATTATATGAAGGACTTATTCAATAAATTTTGTTTTAATTTGAAAAAATCTCTAGGGCTTACGCCTCACTCAAAAAACTCGCGTCAAACGCCTGGGCGTATGCTCCGAATTGCTGGGCATACGCCTCTTGAGACTTTCGTCCTACACCATCGCCCCGGGGCATTTTTGATGCCTCGCCACAGGGCTTGTCCCGAAAACGCCTTTTAAAACATTGGTCAGATGTTCTCTGCAAAACTTTTGTACATGCTGCATAAATAACTGAAATATCCTGCTTGAGTTTCTCAAGAAAAATAATAAATACGGATTTAACTTATATCCACTATGTATAAATGATTTTTCAATTTTAACCTTCTGTTACTTGCTTTATTTTTGGCAGTTAAATTCCACTTATTATGAGTACTAAAATTGATTACCTATTATATGATTTGATCGTATAAAATATTACATTGCCGGTATATAAATATTAAATCCATCAAATATAGTTGGATGATAAACTTTGATGATACTCGCGTTGGGTTTGAGTTCATTTTGTACAAATTTGAGTTTAGATTTGTTCAAATCATTATATTGTTTATGTAGAACCTAAAATTAAAACTAAATTTTGTACATCAAATTTGTAACAAATGACTAAAGAAATGGTGCTCCCCTTAACTTCAAATATCGGCTACACCACCGATAGTTGAATAAACGGAAAAGGGACAGAACTGTCCCTGAAGTGTTAGAATTGGTACAAAAATATCCTCCGTCCATCTATTTGAATAAAAATACCCCTACCGTTATTTTTTTGGCTCAACATTACCTTTATTACTAACAGAAATTTCTAGGGGATTTTTTTTTAATTAATATCCACGTGTCACTGTTCTATTGGCATAACTTAAACTTCAACCAAAATATAATTAAACTCACCCGTAATCCGTCCGAATATTGACCCGCTCCGATTTTAAAACATAACTCTCTTTCTCTCTAGTAAAAAATTGGCAACTATTATTAGAACATCATATGAACCCAATATGTATGAAATTGCACAATACCAATTCCCCATAGCAGAAAAGCTTACATATTAATTAATAGAACAAATAGCGAAATAAATTAAAAATAGAAATACACATTACATAAACAGTAAAAAATCAAAAAAAATCCTCAAATTTTCATAAAGGAATGACAAAAAATAGTGAAGAAAACCTTCAGAAATTTCAAATAAAAAAAATTATACAATAAAGAATACCCATTACATCAACAAATTAAAAGAACCTAAACTTTTTGCATTAAGAAGAACATGACAATTCCTTCCATTTTCCATAAAAATTATTCTAATAGAGAACTCAATCTTGAATTTGCCTCATGAATAATAGTAGACATACACTCGTAACAAAATATTCACTAAAACGAAATGGCGAAGAGGCAGAGGTGAGAGAGAGAGAAAGAAAGAAAGAATTATGTTTAAAAATTATGGCGGGTCAATAATCGGGCGGGTTTAGTTATAATTTGATTTAGGATTTACGTTAGGCCAATGAGACGATAACACATGGATATTAATTAATTAATTTTTTTTCCCAGAATTTTCTATTAGTAATAAGGGTAATGTTGAGCCAAAAAAATAACGGTAGGGGCATTTTTATTCAAATAGGTGGACGGAGTATAGTTTTGTACCAATTCTAATACTCAATGGCAGTTCTGACCCTTTTCTCTTGAATAAATAATATTCTATTGTTCATTTTAAATTGACCCGTTCATCTTGACTCAAGCAGATAATAGGCGGGTTACTACTTTAACCCGGTTTAACTCCTCCAAATATAGCTCAGCTCCGTGTTTGGCACTCCTATTTTTTGCAAGGGGTGCACGGGCAGTGAGTACAAGCGCGTTCTGTGTTAAATTTTAGTTACGACTATATATATATAGCTGAACAGACTATCTTACACGCTTTACTTACAATAACAGAAAGTTTAAAAGCTCGGGAAATTCCAGCAAATATAAACAAGAAAGAGAATGAAGTTTCCCCATACTTAAAAGTCATATTCTCATTTTAATTTCTTCTATTCAAACTTATCTCTGTATAAAACTGATTCCCATTTGGCATTCACACACCTTCGCTCTTCTTCTTCCCTCTATTCCTTTTCAATTAACCCAAACCCTCCCTTCAAAGATCATCTTCAAATTAGTAGCAACATATATAGAGCAGGCTCAAGGAAATGAACAATAATAGTATTGTAGAGAAGGCTATCAACAGCCTCGGAAAAGGCTTCGATTTGACCTGCGATTTTCGACTAAAGTATTGTAAAGGAGATGAAAGACTTGTGTTGCTCAATGAAACTGTCACAAAGGAGATCATGGTACCTGGTTTTGGAGCTTTTAATAATATCCCTGTTGATATTAAATGTGATAAAGGCGATCGAGTTCGATTTCAGTCTGATATTCTTAGTTTTAATCAGGCAAGATCAACCTCTTAATTCTTCCTCATCATCTTCTTTAAGTTAATTATCAAATGTTTGACTTTGTTTTTTTGGGCAAACAGATGTCTGAATTTATGAACAGAAAAAGTTCAGTGGCTGGGAAAATACCATCAGGATTGTTTAATTCAATGTTTGGGTTTCAGAGTGGTTCATGGGCAACTGATGCAGCTAATACAAACTACTTAGGGCTTGATGGTTACTTCATTATATTGTTTGATGTTCATATTGATAGAAGTCCTCTTCTTTTGGTTGATGAAGTTATAAATGCTGTTCCTTCCACTTGGGATCCTGCTGCTCTTGCAAGGTAACTTTAATATCATCTCATTTCTTTTCATTTTTCACCTTTTAATTCAAATGTACTCCATATTTTTACACAGGAAATCTATTATATATACTAGTATTTAGAGTTATATTACTCTCAAAAACATAAATTTAGCATAATACGTGACTAAATAAATCATTTTACAGTTAGTAATTCATTAAATTTCAAAAGTACATAATTTCAATCAATTGAAGGTTAATGTGCTTAACCAGATACTACATGGGTCAAAATCAGAATATATCGATGTTTTATGGACTAGAAAGCAAATGTTTCGTTAGGAAAAGGAAACAATAAACAAATTTATAGGTAATTGACCTTGGAATTAATGGCGTGCAAATGGGGGTGATGTTGACCTGATCAACTGATTAAATTCAATAAGAGAACACTGGAAGTCAGAATCAATTACTCTCTTTTTCTTTTTTCTTTTTGAAAATTACACTGTTCATAATTGGCATCATCTCTTTTGTGACATATTTCGTTTTTTGAAATTTAAAATATGTGAAACTTGACCAATATTTTGAAATAAATTTTTTAATCATATTGACGTGAGAATAACTACAATTTATATTTTTTTTTGTAATTTTTTAATGTTTAACTTTTAATTTTAAAATATTAAATTGAATAAATTTAATTTAATTTTAAAAATAAGTCAAATTAATTCTCAATAAGAAAAATATGTCGTATAAATTAGAATAGAGATAGTATTCTTTTCCCCTGTTTTGGCCAAAATTAGCTTAGAGTAGAATTGTTCCACCGGATTAATCTACACCCGAAGATCTGGTGGCTGAGACTGTTCCACATTAGAATGCCTAGAAGTTTTCAAACACCAAAAGAGCCCCCTAATTAATTTCATGGGTGGTCATTCAGCCCATGAAATTAAATGTATGGATATTAAGTGACTTTTGGGTAATAAACATAAAATTGAATGATATCCCCTAATAATTTTTGTGTAACAAAAGAAAGAAAAGTGATTTTTGGATAATGAATAAAAAATTGAATGATTTTTACATAACAAAAAAAAAAAAACAATTTTTGCGTAATGAATACAACGTTTAATGATCACCCATGAAATTTACACTTAATTTGGAGAAAAGGAAAATTTTGGTCGCTAATGCGTTTAATATTTTATGGTTGTGCCAGAAAATCAACAAATTCTATTTTTGATTTTTTTTTTTGGGTTATATATACAAAAAGGAAACTATGCCTTTGACCTTTAAGATTTTTTTGGGTAGTTTTTTCTAGTATTTAACATAACAAGACATGAAAATGTCTAATTAAAGTACGTTAATTCAAACCTTAAATTACTTTAAAAACATTGCACAAATTAAGAAGATCAAGCATACTATAAAATAGAAAGATGACGATGCAGATCTACTTAAAATAACACTATTTCGTGGTTTAGAGCTTAATCTTCAACAAAAATGATTACTTTTATACTATAATTATCATTTCACAAATATAAAAACTTGAAGAAGAAAACTTGGCAATGGGGAGAACAAGTCTAATTAAAATTCGTGCAATCAAACCAAAAACTATATTAAATTCATTAAAATTTAAGAAGATAAGGTATACTATAAATGGAAAGATGCTGATACAAACTTAGTTAAAGTAACGATCTTTTCGTGATTTCGACCTTATTCTTTTTTTATAAAGGGCCAAAATGTCCTTGAACTATTTGAAATAGCTCAAAAATGCCTTCCGTTTGTTTTTTATACGAAAAATATCCTTGCCGTCTATGTTTTGGACCACAAATGCCCTTAAACCGTTAGTCTTTCCATTGAATGTGACATGACAGTCCAACTGTGTTAGATTTGCTTACATGATCATCCACCTAAGCAATCCAGCATAGCGAAATTATTTTTTCGAAAAAATTATTTTTTCGGAATTTTTATTAAAATACAAAATCAACACTTATTCTGAAAAAAGTAAAAATATTTCGAAAAACTTATTTATTTCGGAAGTTTTTATTAAAATACAAAATCAACACATTCCGAAAAAAGTAAAAATATTTCGGAAAACTTATTTATTTATTAAAATATTATATATAATATACAAAATAAATTATTTAGTTATGATGAGTGAGATAGAGGATTTATGTTCTACTATTTTAAATGCTTAAGTTGAGGATTTATTGCACGTCGAACTTGTTTAGGCAACCTCGAATTAAATATTTGGGGGTTATTTTTCCGGAATTTTTTTTTATTTTTTTCGGAATAAATGTTGATTTTGTATTTTAATAAAAAATTTCGAAATAAATAATTTTTTCGGAATTTTTTTACTTTTTTCGGAATAAGTGTTGATTTTGTATTTTAATAAAAAATTTCGAAATAAATAATTTTTTCGGAATTTTTTTACTTTTTTCGGAATAAGTGTTGATTTTGTATTTTAAAAATACTTTTCGGAAAAATAATTTTGCCATGCTGGATTGCTTAGGTTGATGGCCATGTAAGCAAATTTAACCTAGTTGGAATGTCATGTCACCTTTAATGGCAAGACTAACGGTTTAAGGGTATTTGTGGTTCAAAACATAGACGGTAAGGATATTTTTGATACCAAAAACAAACGGAGGGCATTTTTGAGCTATTTCAAATAGTTGAAGGGCATTTTTGGCCCTTTTCCGTTTTTTATATAACCATAGTTCTAAGTCAGCTTATGCACACTTCAGTTAGTTCTACAAGGTACCTAAAACTTGAATAGCTACCAGCTAAGCTAATTCTGTCCGCAAGATATGAATCTGAAACCTCATAATTCTCAACCCACTTTATTGACTATTAAGCCATACTCTTAGGTGCCCTAGTGGTCAATAAATATAAAACCTTAAGAAAGAAAATGAGGAGTTGGCCTATATTTAATACAGATAAACAACACGTTAACCGGCGGATAAGATGAGTTTTTGAATATGATCACTTTTGGGAGAATTACTACTAGCTAGTCTCCCAAACTTGAGGAACCCACAATTTGAGGCTTTACACATGTAAAAGTTAAACCCATTAGTTATCCATTTTTTAAATGGATAATATAGTTCTTTTCCATATTTGATCTGTTTTTAAAAAGTTCATTATCCAACCCATTTTTTAGTAGATAATATGAGTAATTAATTATTTTCTTTTAATCATTTTGTCACCCCCTATTCATATTTAATATAATTGATATATAATTTTTATTAATTACTTGTGATTTGTGACAGGTTCATAGAGAAATATGGTACCCACATAATTGTGGGGTTGAGTATAGGAGGACAAGATGTGGTCCTAGTTAGGCAACACAAATTTTCCAACATGGAACCATCACAACTCAAGAACCAATTGGATGAACTTGGTGATCAGTTATTCACTGGCATTTGTAACTTCTCTCCTCACCAATGCAAAACACGAGAACAAAAGCACAAGGTTTCTTCTTTCTAATAATCCTTCTATTCTTTTTTTCAAATTAATCTCCTTTTTCTGGAAAAGAGTTCTTTGAATTGATTGCAAAAATCGTATGAGAAATTTTTCCTCCTAACATAAGTCTAAATTTTGTACTAGTTCATTTAACCTGACTAGTCTATTCATCAAATATAGTTAGTTTAAACATTCTGAGTAAGCTCGAATTAATGCCAAGACATAATAATGGAGATACTTCCTGAGTTAAGAACTTTTTCAGATATCATATATATAAAAAAACTCAATTGAACTGAACATTTTTTTTTTTTTTTTTTTTTTT